CGATCGAACGGTGTGGGGGTTGTGTGCCGCGTGGTGTGGATCGCATCTATTTTGAATACCTACCTATCGGTACGAGGGTTCCGCATCGGAGACAGGAAAGAATTTAGCACAAAAAAAAATCGTTATGATAATTATAATAACGAGGAGAAAATAGTCGTCATGTTCGTACGACGTGTGCTGTGCGATTGACATTGCGATCATCATAAATAAAATAATATGCATTTGAAATTTTTTCCTTCACAAAGGATCGGCGGCGGCGATGATGTGCTTAGCTAGGCATTCCGTCGCATACGACAACGTACGGTACCGAGAGAGGTGACGACGGCGGTGTGTCCGCCCACGGGTTTTGTTCGTTCTAGGAAACTGACGGTGGCGGCGCATGTTTACGCTCTGCCGTTTCTACACTTTGCACGACGTATAATAAATAATTATTTATTATTACGTATACCGTATACCAGTAACCGCGTTTTATAATATCTTACGTTATTTCGTTTATCCCGCACGCCCCAGACCATTCGATAGACGTTTTCAATCGTCGTACCGCATTTTTCAGCTGTGTCGTGTGGTGCGAGGGCGTGATGGTTACTGTGGTTACTACTGGAAACCATATTGGTTTAAAAGTTGAGCTGTAGTCGATTCTTGTTTCTCGGTATACTCAGTTGCAACTTTGTTATTATATGGTACCAAAAAAGTAATGTCCATGCCTCATCGCAATGCTACTATTAATTGATCGACACACGACGCAGCTGTGAATCCTACTTTAAGGTACGGTTTCCCTGCAACGTCTGGACGCAGCGTCAAGCGTCACTACCGGTCTGGACGTAGGTAGCGTCTAGACGCCGCGTCCGACGCAGCCATGCTGTTCTCGCGTCTGACGTTGCAGGGAAACCGTACCTTTAGGAGTCAGGTTGAGGAGATCGCCCGGGTTTCCGTATCATCGGATAAAATAAATCATTTTTTACATATCGAGACAGTAATATTGCTATCATGTATTCGAACTTGAATCGCGGGCTGAATATTCGGAACGACGTTTTAAATTACGGTTTTGGGCACCACGCTTGATTCGTTAAATATTGTTATCGTTTGTGACGGAAGAGCATTTCGCTTGGCATTCGTTGTCGCCGCCATCACGTATCGGCGATCGACATAATAATCAATAATAAATACTTATTTTAACCAAAATCGTATTAGTATTATTATAATACACTTTTTCGTCGATTTAAAAACGAACGCAGTAATAATAATGTCGTTCTTGGAGTATGACCTCGTCGGTCGGTGAACAATGGACGAACTTTGTCCGGTCCGAATAAGTAGACAGCCGCCGCCGCCGCCGCCGACATCGAACACAGAGGGTGGTGGTGCAGGTGGCCGCCAGCATGAGTATACTCTGCCGAGTGTGATTCCTCTTGCGGGCAGCAGCTGAGTCCATCGTCCTCGGCGATGATTAAAAACGGTTTTTCTTTTTTTTGCCCACCGGACGGTTATTATTATTACATCAATGTGATTCGCCTGTCGGTTTTTGCGGTACACGAATTTACCTATGACAACAAGTTAAGGGGTCCAGCGGTGGAAAATTTTGGGAAACGCTGCCTAAAGGTCCCCACACACTGCAGCGGTAGCTGTAAAATTCTTTTGTCTTGGCGGTGCTGGCGAGGTGACGGTAAATTGTGTCTGGACTCATTTTACCGCTACCGCCATCGCTACCGCTGCAGTGTGTGGGAACCTTTATGGTATACGAAATGATCGCGCTCGGAAGAAAATAATATTTAACAGTCAAATGGTACATGGCTACAGGCTCGTCCTTAGGATTTACGTGAACCAGAGCAAAAATATTTGCGGAGCCTAAAATGTATTTATATATTTACAAGTGTCCTTAAAATATCCATATATTTTTACTGCTATATTAATTAATTTTAAAATAAACACATTTTAGAAGAATTTTTCATATTTTGGTAAAAGCAGAAAAACTTGTAGTCTTTGAATTACACTAGAAAAGTCAAAGCAAGTATAAGTGTATAACTGTACCTCTTTATTTTGTCCCATTATTAAATGCTTGACTGCTATTATAGTTATTTACTTATTAGTTATTACATGTACTATTTTGTATATCGTTATTCGTTACTTAATTTCTAAGAAATGTCTTCGTTATTTCTCTACTAGAAACGTTAAATTTGAAATAATGCAATGAAATAAATTATAGTTGTTGAAACCAATTTTAAATATTTTTTTTTAATTCGAAGACCCAAATCGAAGTAAAAAGTGCAAGGCCCAAGACTCCAATGCCACACTCGTAAATGAAACGATCGGCTATTGCGGTACTAATAAATTACGCATTTAAAAATATAATGAGCCTAAAAAAGCCACTTCGAAAAGCTTCACAAGACCGACCGGAATCCCGATATGATGACTGCGATCGGTGTGTCGCTGATTCGGAGATTTTGCTGAAATCCGTTTTCGACTCCAATCGGTTTCCGATTTCGCAGCGAGAACAATAACAATAATTATACTTTTATTATTGATGTGTGTCATAACACTCGGATTTCGTAACAACGGTGTAGTTTTTGGTGTATAGTCCGAACGTAAATATTATTATTTATTTATATATAGTATATACATATATATATTTCTGTATTTATATTTTTTATCTTCACAAGACTGTCCGTGAACAGCAGCGAATTCGCAGTGTTTATAATACGTGATCATGGCGGCGGCGGTGGCGCTCGAGGACAAGGACATAATGTTATTAAACACGTTCTTTTCGGAAATATTATATATTATTACGCGCGCTCTATCGTAATCTCGTGTCATTGAATACCAGAGCGTATTTTTTTTTATTATTATTTCTCAGTTGCTATCGACAAAGGGACGTTTTTGTTTTGATTATTAATGAAAAAAAAAATATATAAACCACTTAGATCGCTGCCAAAACTCTGTTAGCGCGCAGTGTAGATATCCGACATCGCGTAACCCGACACGACGCCGATATACCTGCGTGCACCTCGACGTATGTATATATTACCTTGAGCGAATACGTTGATTACTGATTAGTGTATGAACTATAAGGTATCGGTTTTCCGTGTTCATTTCATAGTATTACATATTTAATAGTATATACCTAACGTGGAATAATTGTTAATATTAAATTAATTGTATTAACACGACTCACCGATTTGAGGTTAAATCCTTTCCTTTTGGTTTTCTCGGGAATTCGGTATGTACGGTTTTTATCGAGAGCTGCGACGGCAGCGTTTTCCACATTCGATCACGTACGATCGAAGTCCGTTCTTGAGCATGTTTGAAGCCAGAGATCACGTTTGTTGTTTTGGTTTCAAAATTGTTCACAATTTGTCACCCGTTCGTTTGGGAGATTCTACATCTGGTCGGTTGACCATTGGTTTTTAATATTACGATGTATATCATATCATTCGGTGCTTTCCATAACCGAACAAACATAATACAATTCCGTACACGAAAATAATTTGATACTTCACAGATTTATACAAATGTATGTAGCCTAATTTCTCATCCAAAAATATTACAATACCGCACAAATTCATTAAAACCAATTTAAATTGGAAATATAAAAATATTATAAAGAATTAAATTCAAATTCCATAAAATCAAAAATGTGTGTGTGTTAAATCAAAATAATTAAAACTACTAAATAGTATTTATATAATAGATGTATAGGGTGAGCCCATGTGTTCCGTCTTTCGCACCTCTGCCCTGTTGTCTCCTGGTTAATTTTCGAGACATGATTATTTGTTAAGCATAAAAAGTGTCCAGCAATTAGGGAGAATTTCTCTGAGTGTCCAAACTCCTAGATGTGGCTTTTTTTTATGTGAAAAATATACGACTAAATTTGTGTATTGTAACGGGATATCAGTATTTTAAAATCTGTGTTTTGTCCGATACGTATTTGGTCACACAATTACCATACACAAGGTACATTACTACATTAGAGTATAATACAATATTGTCGTGTACGATAAATAAAATATTTAATATTTTTAAACGTACAATGAACACGAGTCGAAGAAAACATTGTTCTCTGCTTTGAGTGTCGTCGTTCAAGCTGCAATTACGTCGTTTTGTATTTCTGTACCTACCTATCTACCTACCTTTATATGTACGTTTAGTTGATATTTCGTGCCGCAGTCGTTTTAAAATATTGGCTCAGAACTGCCATACCTGTTAGGCATGTTAACACAGCAATAACATTGCGCCTATATTAGGTTAGGTATAGTTCAGTGTAGTACTGCAGTAGACGGTTATTGTCGTGATCTCTTAAAGTAAAGGTTTCATGGCGCCCGGGACCTGTCTTATTTACTTCGCAAAAGCGGGCACCGACGTGGAAAAATGATGTCAACCATTGCAATAAATTTGAATATTTTTCGAGTGTTCCTCGGTGGGGTACGCCCTCCTCGTTTTGATCAGATTTGACATTCTCCTCTCCCCGTCAACTTGTTGTGCTACCACATCGGGTGTTGAATAAGACGGCGTTGTAATTTGTAATAATAACAAAGTATACCCAATGTCATAGAAAACTGCGTGCCCCACCCTCCCCTTCTATTGCCGCCTGACAAGTCTGTAATAATTAATAACGTATTATGATGCTTGGCGCCAAGGCTGAACGTGTCGTCCGGTGAAAACATAGGCCGCGGCCTCAAGGTCGCAGTCGCAGCATAGTGAGACACGTACCATCGGGTTGGCTGTCTTGTCGGGTGTTAGGCCAGTTCGCTTCGGACAGTGATCAGTTGTGCCTCTGGTCTTTCACTCAATTTCTCTCATATACACACACTCTTTCTCCCCCCACCCCCTATCTCTTTCTCCCAGTTAATCCAAGTATCTTTCCCGCCTTATACTATCTATTACTTATATGCATGTAATATATATATATAAGTCGTGACTCCATCGGTCGATGGTCACACTCGTTTCGGCCCACCAAAACTAATCACGCCATGCAGCTTTCTGATCGTCGTACTTTGTTTTTCGCACAGTTCGTCCATGTACCAGAGGAGTAACGGCGGCGGCCTGCAGTATTCGACTTCCCTGCCACATTACTTCACGTCCTCACCCGAGCTCAACCAACAGCAGACCAACAACATCATCACATCCGTGGCCAGCAATCAAATGTGGTCCACAGGTAAGCCAATGACAGTTACATTTCTGCTTAATGAATGCACACGAATACTTGCACACATACTCGCCCGTTTGAAATTCGCTCTTAAACATTAACAGTTTCCTCTTGTCATTTCCCTTCTGCAGTAGTATCCGAAGACGGTACTGGAGGATATTCTCCGACGTCGACAAGCAAACAGCAGCAGTCCAACCACAACGGCGGTGGCCTGCCAGCTTTCGCCCAGCGTTTTGGCACGCACACGTCGTCAGCGTCCGCGTACACGGCCGCCGGTTCGTCCCGGTCAGCGCCTTCGTCGTACCACCCGATCGCTACGCCCGGCGTGACGCCCTATCACCTGACAGCCTCGGTCGTCAACAACGGTGGCCCGGCGGACACCTCGTCGCTCCAGTGGGCCGCGGCCGCCGCAGTGGCCGGATCGCACGGTTACCCTAACACCGACGGCACCATAAACTACGCTCCAATGCCGATCAACCAGTCGGGCAGGAGCCGGACAAACGCATTCTCGGCCGCCGCCTCACTGTCAGCACGTAAGTACCTATAACGATATAATGCTAATATGTATTATTTTAGACATATTTTGTAAGTGACGATCGATACCACGTCCCGGCCCACACGTAAGAATTGAATAAAACGTTTACAGGAAATCAACTTGGGAAAAATAATGTTATATATTTTATCAGGCTAGTCGTATTTTTTATTTTATCCGCCGCCTCCGGCTGAGAATTATCGACTGTCGTTAAAATATGCCATCGTGGACTTGCAAAACCTTAATTATATATGTTGTACATAAATTGTATATTTATATTATATGTGTGTGTGCATGTGTGAGAATGCGTGTGGCGTGTGCGTATCGCGGTATATACCAAAAGATGTGTTCCATACCTACTATAAGCGTGTGCCGCGCGGTCTGGACCCCGGGTCGGTTACGACCCTACATAATATTATAGAAAAAAAAACCAATAATAATAGTCGTATAGAATAGTTTGTCGTCGAATCCCCGTGGCGAGGTGACCGATTAATAGGGTAGGTGTTTTTTTTTCTCGGGGCGCGCGCGCTAAACTGCCCACCCAAAGCGACCGGAATCCTTTGCGGGCTTGCCCGTCGTGTGTGTACATATTTTAATAATAATACAAAAACAATGTGTGCGACCGGGGATCGAAGAGGGAACCGTCTCCGTTTACATCTCATGCACGATACAATAATAATAATATCTGTTTGCCATTAATTAAACGCCCATTTAGGGGATACCGGCTGCTGCCGTCTGGAGCTCACACACACACACACACACACGAGACCCCGTACTTACATGTTATTATCGTGTACATTTGTTTTCGGCGATGGTGGTCGCCGTGTCGCATAAGTAACACGTGTTCGCGAACTCGCCTTTTGCCCTTTGCCTTTTTTTTTTTGATATCAATACAACACTATGTATAATATTATAATACTTTGTAAATACTCGTAAATATTGATTATACGCTTCTCGTACACACACCCTCGTGGGTAAATGTGCGTGCCAATATATTATACGACGTGTGTGTCTTTCCCGTCTTCTTGTCCAAATATCGTGCATCCCTTGTCTTTGATTAATGTTCGCCGGCTGGTCATAAAAACGTGTGTTCGAGGTCTGGTAAACCTAACCGGACCAAAACCACCACCGTCGTCGTCGCCGCTGCTACTTAATACCCGACTGGGCAGACTTGTCTTATGCCGTTTCATTGCCCATTACATATATCTATATATATATATTATATTATATAACTAAGTTTATAAATATATAAGTAATAACGTTTGTGCCACACGGTATTTATGATTTAATTTGATCGCCCACAGATTCCGTACATAAATCTACACTCACGTTTCCGAATCTGACAGATATACTTCTATTATTACTTCTATTATTCATACTCTACAATTACGCCGTTGCATTCATATTTTCTAAATAACTTTACTAGTTGACAGAATAAAAAATTTAAAAAAAAAATACTAGCTCTTAACAAAACGATCGCCTGTTGACAGTATTTATTTTTTAACCTATTGATGCAAGATTGACTCGTCAGGATTTATCTTTTCACATAATCAAATTAACTGTAGTGTACAAATACATATAATATACATGTTGACGTCGTTTAGTCTCATTTATATATTATTATACGCACCACGACAGTATAATATACTGCAGTGTTTACTCGGAATAATATTGTTTTTTTTTCGAATTGTAAATCTAAAAGTAGACCCGTCGTGGTGGTGTTTGTCACTAACGAAATCGTTAACGTTTCCAGTATTGTAATAATTGTGTACTAGATGTTCAACGTTCGACGCCGTTTGCTCGCAGTTGGTCGCGTACACTAATTATTTGATTTGTCTCTTTACTATACGATAGTAAATATAATAAAATATATAATAACAAGCGTACAATAAATATTAAAAAAAAAAAACTAGGTTAAGTCACCGTTTTGTTATCATCGTATTTATTCTGTACGCGTTTTCCGTTAATTTTTTTTTTTGTATTTTTTCCCTACCGTTTTATCACAAATTTTGTTGCTCCCTCGATAACCATTATGCACCAGAGCCCGAATTACACGCGGAAAACGGAAGCTCGTTATCGGCAACGGCCATGTTGGAAACGAAAAATTATACATGCACCGAGCAGGATCAATAGCCTCCGCACTATACAGTATAGATGCCCTTCTAAAATAACACATAATAATATGTAGGTACTATATAATTGTAACGATCGTATTAAAACGCACACAAAAAAAATGTGTATATATTATTATGTTATATTATATATAGTTAGTTATTTTTTCTTACGTGTGTTAATCGCAATTGCGTGCCATTTTTAATTGTTGTAGTACTAATCGAACGTGGTTAATGTCACGTATGGTGATTCGTACGCACATATCAGGCTCGCCTGACCTGCTTGTGTTGTACAGTAGACTGTCAAAAATTAAATTTATATTGAATGTAGGTAAATTATATAATTTTGATTATTTGCAAAATGAATTCATTCCTATGGTGTCGATTTTTCAAATATTCATGGAAATCTCTAAAAAAAATTGTTATTTAATGTTATATTATTTTCAAGCCATTTGTACGGTGGCCTGCGTTTTAAGTTGTTTTGTTTTTCTCTCGTTATTGACACCATTGCCGACCGCCCGTCTATCTGTGTCTACACATGTTGCCCTTAGATAACTCCGCAGAACGACCGATGGATGACGGTTAGTTGACGGTCTGTCTCGATTGTAATCAATCCACCGATACGATATTGCTGTTTATCGGTTCACCGCCAGCGAAGGGTCGTGTCACGAGCTACACAGGACGATTGTTGACGTTGACACGGCTTGTTGACCTCGGAGGGCGGTGGTGTATATGACACGGTCGGGGTGGGACAGTAAAATAATATCGGGCCTTAAATATTAAATCCTCTAATAGACCCTTTTTTTTGTCCTTTTTAATATTTGCCTTCGGACCACCTCGTCAAATATTTATCGAATCACCCACTCGCTAATGTGTGCGTCCGTCGCGGCGCTAAAACCCTCTGCAAGTGTGATGAAGACGACACCCCGGGATATCGATTAGCATATATTTATTCGGAACACATATGTTGGTTTCAATTTTACGACCGTCTCTTCAAAACCGCGTTATTTCGTGTTTTTTTTCTCTACCGTGTTTTAAGTTCAATAAAATATGTATATTGTATATGTTATATGACGTTATGTAGGCCATAAAAACAAAATATTATTAGATGTTTTACACACAAAAATACAATATCGGTAAACAGTTTACGCGTTTATAATAATTGGTCTGCTCGTTTTAAACCGATTGATCTCTACTTACACGAAATCAAATGGGATTGTTGCGTTTGCATGGTTGTGCTGCAGCGTATATTATATCAATTGAAATATAAATAATAAACACAGTAAAAACAAGCTCCTGTTTGTCTGTATTCCAACGCATCTTCGTCCGTATGTATATATTATTATTATTTATATATTTTATGGGGGGGGGGGGGGTAAACTATAGTATCGATAAACTGGTAAAGTCTCTCGGACAACCCCGCCGAGCGTAATAGGCGTCGCGAATATGTACACTTGACACGACTAGGCACGCCTTCTCCCCTTATCGTACACCACCACCACCCCTCAAATTGTTAACTATATATAAATAGGGTGCAAGCGATTGCCGCAGACGTGTTGACATCGTGTCGTGTCTGCTTTGTGTATGCACATATATATTCATATATATACATAATCATATATTATACAGTCGACGAGATGGAAATGTTTTGCGAGGGTCGCGAGTGCGTGAACTGCGGAGCGGTTTCTACTCCACTGTGGAGGCGCGACGGCACCGGTCATTATTTGTGCAACGCGTGTGGACTTTACTACAAGATGAACAGCATGAACAGGCCTTTAGTAAAACAACCCAAACGGCTGGTTAGTGATAATGCAAAGAAAATCCTTTGCGGTTTTGTGGGCGCGTGTACGTCTTGTGTAGTACGTTTGCGTATTTTAACAATATTAATATATTATAGACCTACAATGGTATAGATGATGCAATGTATACTTACGTATTATGCATTTTTGTGACACGCCGCCACCTCCGTAAAATTATAAACAATATAATATGCATGTATGCGCTTTGGTTCGCTATCATTGTTTGTTGTCTCCGTCTTTGTGCGTTCGAATATAAAAAAAAAAACATAAAGAATTATAGACTCGCTACGCGTAGGTATACATAAACAAAACTACCAATAGTAGCTTGTAATTACCGGATCGTGTACCTACAGCTCCCCAGGTAAGTGTTTCTAACAGCTTTTTTCCCGTCCGCATCATATCGAAATGAGAGCCCTTGTAGAAATACCTGGTAACCAGCCGTTTTAGTGAACATTTTTTATTCTCATTTTTATATTTTTTTTTGTTGTACGTCACTGACTCCCCGATGACTGTCTTCCACCCAATCGGTCGTCATCTTTCAAATTTGAAACCGTTTAAAAGGAGAGTAAATTGTAACATAGTTTATTTGTTTGTTGTTCTAGTGGCTTCTGGCCCGAGCTCTTCCAGTTCTGGGGATTTCTATAAGGGTCCTCTGTATCATCATGTGCCTGCCAGCTTTGCAAGGTCATCCGGAGCCGGCGGATTAGAAGAGAAAACCACAAGAAGAATGGTATGTATTTTTAAACATTAAGTTTACAGTATTTACTCTATAGTATCTTTCGAGATTATATTATGATATCAGTTGGCGGCGTTGTATATAATACCAGTGGCGAAGAAATGTACACTTTTAATCATAATAAAGTTTCACTAACCGTAACACGTGCTACTAATATACTAATAATAATCAAATTCACCGGCTTCCATTATCACCGTCTTTAAAAACATTTGTTTAGATTATGACGTTATTAGTTATTATGACCGTTTTCTAATCTGTCACAACACAGATACGGGGTTATTAATCTGTGTGTTCATTCATAAACAAAACTTGAAATCGCGTCGGGCTCTTCCGGTCTGGGTTCCCCGATGGCTAGACGCTTTGTACTGCATGTTTGGAATTCTCCCAACAAAGCCATATAATTACTAGCGCAAAAAAGCCTTCCTGCTGTGTTACTTAAGCGTAAGGCTAACGGTTAACATTTTTTAATTTTTTTTTTTTAGCAAAATGCATCTAGGCGTCAAGGGTTGCAGTGCACAAATTGCCAAACGGCCACCACGTCGTTGTGGCGTAGAAATCAAGTGGGTGAGCCTGTGTGTAACGCATGTGGTCTGTACTTTAAGTTACACGGTGTTAAGAGACCACTTACGATGAAAAAGGATTCCATCCAGGTGATTATAATTTTATTTTTGATAGGCATACGACTATGTTAACTCACTTTCGCAACTTATTACTCAAATTAATCTCGCCCTGTTTATCTATGCGTTTTGTACTCCGAATCCTCGAGGAGATTCGACCATAAAATATATACCTACATATTTTTTTTATACAATATTTAAATATTTAATTTTGATTTTCAGACACGGAAGCGCAAGCCCAAAGGTGGATCTAAAATAGAACCGGAACCTAAGAGAATCAAACAAGAAATACGTAAGTCAAATATTTTATTAACTGTCATAATTTTAATTTTATGAACCATGATTGCATGAAAGACGAACATATTGTATTGAATATTTAATTTTAATTATAAATCTATGGTCATTAAAAGTTACACAGTTATTACTAATCTGCAGATAATGCACGCAAATATATGTTCAATAATGACTATAAAATATGATAGCGACAAAATTTACTATTTATTATTAAACATCACTACATGGTATATGTACTCAATAAATAATAGTAATGATAGTTATTACTTATTATTATTACAACTTCTACATCTACTAATACTTGTAGGTACTAAAAAGGCTCTTTTTATACTGGTTATTTACAGTACTTGCACACTGTTAGATGATAACATTCATGAGTATAAAATATTATTAAAGCATGTTAACATTAATATGAGTTCAAGTACTCAAGTTTTGATTTTTTTTATTATATATGATTCACACATACTTTTAGTTTTTTAATCCCCTTAATATTTTTGTAATGAAAATTTTGACAAACTGTATTTTCTTACCTATTTACTATTCTTATGTAACTTTATGTATTATTAAGTAGTAAATTAGTAATTATAGGTTATAAATTAAATATAAATACTGATTTTGCATTTTTGTTTCTTTTAGCGTCTGAACATAACTATAGTGACTGTCACCGCACATCCGGCAGTGTTTTGAATCATGGCAGTGCCAGTTCGGGTCTTGCATATACCAACTTGTACCAAACAGCCACACATATGACACCTGCATACTATGATGTCATCAAGTCAGAGTCATCACAAGAGTCTATCAACAGTCCACATATAGTAAGCCTTGCATCTGCCAACAACAACAATAACAACAACAACAACAATAATAACATAAACACCGGCAACAAAGATAGGCCTAGTGTTCTAACCATGTCTGTTAATTCCTAAAAATTAGTATATTTCTATTATATTTCCTTGATTATTCTTTAGTGTTATCAACCTTGTTGATTTCAATATTATAATAACTATTTATCATTAACGAACAAACGAAAAAATTATTATGTTTTATTTATATTATTATTATTTACAATATTTAACTAATTACAATATATTTTATAATTTATAATACATACATTACTGATTGGAATGTAGGCAATTTTCAAAGACATTATATTAGGAGTTTAATTTTTTTCAAAAAGCAAAGACTGCATATATATTTATATTCTGTTCAAGAAACAAAATTTATAAAACTTAAATTTATAATAAGCTCATATAAGTAATTTTATTTAATCACAAGTACAATATTTTATTTTATTTTTTGTTCTAGTTGAATCTCTATATAAAACACTGATTTGTTAAGTAGCATTTACTGTCTTGTACATTCTTATACTTGTAAGTCCTTTATTTATTGTACATATATGATGTACTTAATTTGTTAATATTAATATCAGTTGCTTGAAAAATATTATTTTTGTTTTTAAGTCTTCGTTTTTGATCAATTGGAGATTGTGATTAGAAAAATTGTTGAAATATTTTAATTAGTTGATAGTTTAATTTAAAAAAAAAATATTTACTGAAACTGAAAATTATAGCATGTTAATTTCGAAATATTTGTAATCATTATTATTATAATAGATATATTTGTTGTTGTAAAATTGTAATTATTTAGTCATAGTTCTGAGCAACTTATATACTAATTTAAACGTTTGTGATCAATCGATTTATTTTTACACCAACAAACGTTTAGAACTATGTAAAATTCATTTCATAAAAATTGCTGTTTGATTATAACAAATATTATAGTACTGAAACTATATGCATTTTAAATCATTTAAATCATCTTAACAGAAGTAAGTAACTATTATGTCAGCATTATTTTGAGTGATAAAACATTTAAACAATTGTAAGTATTAAGTAAATAAATCTTAATATGTCATTATAATGTGACTATGAAATTATTACTTAGGTTTCAAAATATTTTTTACTTCTATTTTTTATAGATTCTTGTCATTTTGTCATTTAAAACTGTTAATTTAATATTACCAGCAAACAAATTACAAATTCAATTAATGGAGTGGATGTAATTGGATATCTTAAATTCGAAAAACGGATGGCCGTAATTTAATTTTTCTATTATTTATCGAGTTTTGAATATTATGATACGTGTAGAACTCTGGCAATAAATCGGGAGGTTATAATATAACGTCGTCTCAATAAATATAATGTTGTCAAATCGATTAACAGATGTGCGGCCGCGGCGGCGGATGGTTAATCGAAGTAATAAAGATTAAGGAAAGAAATCGCTTTTTCTTGTGTGCACTGCCGACTATGACAAATAATCGAATTTTATTGCCGATCGCCGGCTGCGGTGTGGTCGGTACTTTTATAGCGGTCCAAAATTATTTAATTCGTTTGATAAACGCTCATCGTAAGGATCAATAAAAATAATAATTTGTTGTGATCTTACCGTGTCTGAATTTTAATTTCGACAGACTTACTTCCCGTACAGCATCATCGCGGTCGTCCATGGAATCGTACGAACCCAAGGTGCATCGACGGAACTTGTATGGTAACTTATAAGTAGACAGCAGTAGGTTTATATGATATGTGCTCCAAATATGTGTTTTTCAAAAACCGTTTGTCCCGAGTAAATTTTCAATTGTTTGACAATTTTTTTTTTTTATTTGCTTCAGACTCGTACGGTACACAAAATGATGCCTAAAAAAATATACATACACGTGACTTCAGATGTACAGTTCGCTCAAATTAAACTGACCCCTTCACTGCAAATTAATTTATAACTAGGTAGGTACCAAAAACTGCTGCAAGTTTTAATGTTTTTGGTCATTTGTCATTTCATAATATAACAGTCATAAGTCATACATTATTGAAAACAATTTAATAATTCACACATTAATTTGTAAACAACCATTTAACTTAACATTTTTATTTAATTATTATTATAAGATAATATATTGGATAAAATATATTATATTGTGTATATAAACTTTTCAACTTAAGTTAAAGTCTTCTAAAATATCAGTCTTTTCGTCGCCCCCCCTCAAAAAAAAATGTACGAATAGATAGTATGTCTGGCGTCTACGATCATGCCGTACAGACTTCATTATATACCTATATTGATGGTTTTTTTGAGTCCTTGAGTAAAAAATGTCGTATACTTGTAATTTGTAAGTCATTAGGTCTGTCTGGACGGTGCAGGTCGACATTAGTCGTGTTGTAATATTCTACACCAGACAGTCAATTATTAGTCTCGATGTAAATGGTTAAAATATTTTCGGATTCTTATCGAAAACCTCTCTGAAGTTCGTTCCACTGCAGTATACGCCTGCAGGCTACGACAGACGGTTTTTCATACGGTATTGTGACGTAGGTTTACTCAAATAAACGCTTTTCTGATCACTGACCACTGTGGTCATGTAAAATTATCTAAATTACGATCGAATGTTGTTTTAAGTATATGATATAAATTTTAGTTTCTGTTTTATTATTGTTTATTTTGTATATAATATGTGGTATATATATATATATATATATTGCAAGTATGTGCTATTTTGGTATATATTATTATAATATAATATTAAATTTTAATATATTATTATCAACGACCAATGTACCTAAATATGAGTATTGGCACCTAATTTGAATTCTTTAAAACTGTTTGTATTTTATGCGTGAGAGACTAAAGCCATAATGCATTATTTTTCTGTTTTTCTCATAATATTCCAAACGAATTTGTATATTTCGACATCAATAATTTATTATTTTTTGTTCGGATTCATTATAAATACTTTTACGCGTTACCGATATCGGTTGATTACAGAACGTCCTACGCTTTTATTTGGTAAATGCGGTAGGCACTAGGCATGTGATTATAATATGAATATCTACGAGTAATCAATGGTGGTTACTTCCTTTCGCACTGGTCTGCTTTTGTACGTTGCATATTATAATGTTATGTAACTTATATTATTATATTAGTAAATATTTTTCACTTTATACATTTTATACATTTTGACGAAAACTTATCTGCTCAATTTTCTTTAATATGAACATCTGCAGGTTATGTAATTTCGAGGTACAATTGTTTTTTTAGTGTTATCAATTACATATTTATATTTATAATATTGCATTTCATGTTAAATACAGTTCCAGTTTAAAGACAGTTTAAAATATTTCACGTTTAGGTTTACCTACATTTCTTTACATGACTTATAAAAAAGCTAAATTGGTTAAATAAATACCATGTCCGTTCATTTAGAAAAATACTATTATGGGTGATGGGTAGGAACAATGAAGAATGCCAGTATGCCACTGTTGTGCACCTCAATACGTCTCTGGGCTAAACAATGGATTCCTAGTCTAATGTATTTATTATTTTCAACTAATATTATAATAAAATATTGTAATTAATATGTCTTTATATTTACTTAAGTTTTTAAGTGATAAAATTGTGATTTAGTAATTGTATTACTAATCATTTATTTTAGGTATAGGTATTATAGGTACCTATATAATCTTGCTAAATTTGAAAAATTAACAATAAAACTTGATTTTTTCCTATTCATTTTTCAGTCCGGTATTGTGCAGTAAGATATTTTCGAATTTCAGTATAATTTCATGAACAATTTGTACTTTTACTGAACCTGAAAAAAAAAATATATCTTTAAAAACCGCAATTATAGTATTTTACATAATTATAAGTACCCTAGCTATTGGCCTCTATTGAACAATTAATTTTGACTTAAATAATAATATATTTGATCATCGTTTAAAAACATACAGATGGGTACAAGGTACCTATATTATATTGTATAAAATGTGCACCGAACACATGTCATATACCAACGTATTATTAGATTGAATGGAGGATTTGAGAAATGAGACTGACATGATATTTTTCTTGTAATATGTTTTCGCCGTCTAATTGTGTACATAATATTATAATAGTTATTATTATTTTATGTAGGTAATATATTAACGGCAGATCACGAGTTGTAATGACTAGTGTTGACATCGTTGTTTGACCAATTTTTATGGAGGTGCCAACTCAATATGATGTAGGTACATCCAAGCTGTAATAAAAATCAACAACAAATCATTATATTACTAAATTTTAAATACCATTTAAAATTTAAAATATTCAGTAGGTACCTACATGCAAACATTAAGTAGATATTTTAAATACCATCACTTTATACTCAAGGAAAAAAGTATTTAAAATTGTATTTGGTACTAATGTAAGTAGGTAGGTACTTGAATTGTTTTACTCAAATACTTAACAATACCGTCATAGACTAAATACTAAATATACTCATTCGTGTATTAACTTAAATAAAAGTTAGTACAGTAAACAAACATTGAATATTAAAAAAATATATTTGACAATGGAACTTTACTAATGAATCATATGATAATAAAAAATTCGTGAATCTATTATAAACATAGATATATAGATTATGAATTAGATTACTATAACTGAGTCAGTATGCTTATATACTATTGAAATTAATGAAGCAATAATTTTCCGCCATATTTATGTTAATAAGAATATGACATTGTAAAAGGGGAGAATAGTCAAAATCACCACTTTTCTGGGAGCAAAAATAAATAAATTTCTGTGTTGAAAACAACGACTTTTATTTATCTTTTTATTGATGCTTTAGTAGTTTAGTATAAAAAAGTACAAAAAACTATAGATCGATTATACATTTTGATGATAAAACTGTAAAGCATTCTTTTACCACAAGATTGTCAAATAATCAAAATATAACCAAATTTACATAGGTATTCGTAATTTATTGTATTTTCTTTTTTTTCCTACTTTGTACCGTTCATATATATCTAGGCAAGTATACATTTATATACCTATACGACCTACCTACAAAACGTTTTGAGCACAATTAAATTCAGTGGGTCGTTATTTTTAGTGATTATTAAAAGCTTTTTAGTAAATATTGTTATTGAAATAATGTCTTAAGAGGACGCTACACCCGCATGTGTAGTCACGTAGAACATAGCAAAAACATGTTTTGCGCGGGAAAGAACCGAGAAAGCTACAGTCATAATTAAGAAACGAAATTTTCACCACATAAAAAGGAGAACTTTGGCTGTGCAATACCGTTTTTATTTTTTCGATATCACTTATATGAAAAAAGTTCTTATTGTTTCAAAATACATTTGTTTTTGTATTTTTCAAACTTGAATAACTTTTTTTGTACTTCCGATATCGAAAAAATAAAAACGATATTGCACAGCCAAAGTTTTCCTTTTTATGTGGTGAAAATTTCGTTTCTTAATTATGACTGTAGCTTTTTCGATTCTTTCCCTCGCAAAACATGTTTTTGCTATGTTCTACGTTTATGAGACGGAGACAACACATGCGGGTGTAGCGTCCTCTTAAAATCATTATATTTCTCCATAATTAGGAAAATAAGGAAAACTATCGTATATAAGTGAGCAACATAAATATCATAAGTTAAATAAAAACTAATATAGTAATAGGTGTATTTATATTCATTGTGAGGCCATTCAAACCCATTTGTAAGGGGGGGGGGGGCTAAAGGTTTAAACTCAGTATTTGCACATTATAGTTTTAAATCAATTATCTTTTATAAAATATATATATTTCAAACAGATAACTTCATAGTTCATACCCAATATTTTTCTATACGTCTCAACAACGCGAAACTTATCTATAATTAGTAATTGTGCGTTAAGATATAATACATTTTTCTCTGTTATTTTTAATATACTAGAGTGAATTAAATTATTATCAAATTTGAAGGTGATAATATTATTTAGGGCCTTATGTAACAGCTATAAGTTATTTTTAGTATTTTAATTTTGTAGCAAACTATTATGACTATATTTTTAAATTAACATAAAAATAAAAATTTTTAGATTATTACTGAAAAATAAACTATACAATAGCAGCAAGTATGGAAGGGAGTATAGGCTTCCTCCCCTATTGAAGAAGCTCCTGATAAACTAGTTACTAATATAAACTTATCAGTCATTAATTTATTATAATCAGTTAAAATATCACCATCACTAAGCATGCGAACGAATACCAATTTATAGAGGTGAAGTATTCAAGGAAATATTTTACATAGGTATTCTACGTGGAAAAAAAGACCACGGAGTGTTCACTCACTCACTCGCTCATCGCGAAACTATATTCATTAATCACTTAATCGTGTTTTAAATACAACTGTTTCGTATGTTTTTGGTTTCAGGATGGTCAGTAGACGACATTTTAGATCAGGATTAACTACCCATATAATAACAATAGTATGATCCCATACTTACGCAGTTACGTCGTACAATATTATGTATATTATATTGCAACGTAAGGATTTTCCTAATATTATACCACAATATCACCCTACATAAAATAATAATTTCCGTAGATCCGAACGGACTGTGGATTAACAGGGTTTGGACAAAGCCAAGGATATGATAATATTATACATAAACGCGACGGACATAATATTATACCGAACCACCGAAATACCCAATCGGAATCGCTCCATTGTTATCCTTGGGCACGATTAATCCTCGTGTAGCCGATCTTTTTTTTCAATCATGATTTAGCTATAGGCGGCTCGTCTGTCGCATCCGGGGAGACGAAGCGAATACTTTATAAACAGTATAATAATACTAATCTAGATATCGGAGTTTTCTCCTCCATAATATTATTTCATAGACGACATAATAATATCTACATATTATTATATTATTATACTTATACAATGCAGAGTAGAGATCAATGACTATTATTTACCCGAACACGCACTTATTGCTCGCGTGCCGCCGGTTAGAGCATGATACGTGACTAGAGCGTAATATAAATTATCTATACACATCAAGGAGAAAAAAACGGTTTTTGAAAAGTAACTATATTATATAATATGCGCCCACTTCAAAAAAGTAATATATGCCGCCATAATACAACATGTATGATGCATATATATATACGTATAATATATACGGACAGCGATGTATTTCCACTGACACAACGCGTACCTACCTATATATGAGTGTTCACACATGCACACGCACGATTTGTACGATTATTGGTTCTAGTATATTATAGTATAAAGAATGGCAATAAATTATAAAATATTATGATCTTGCCTAGTTACGATTTGTAACCGCGCGCGTACGAATTGTTTTTTTTTCGTTTCGGTCCTGGTATACGCGCGACAGTAGTGGGACGCCGCCGTAGGTGGAGCCAAACTCATAACGCGAGAAGTTCTGTACAAGACAATTATCTTTCAGGAGCGTACCTGTCAAGTGTCAGATCGGTTTTAACGGAGAGTTCCACATCACAGGTTCGATAAAAAAAAAAAAAAACCAAAGATAAATTTCACGAATATATTGTCGCGATAAACTCGTGCCGTGAATCCAACACTGTGTACTCCAACACAGGTAAGTCGAATCTCATTAACGATATTTTGTTAGAAGTAATCTTTTTTTATTATTATTCTAATAATAACAACTACATTCTATCGACTTCGTTTTTCGATGGACTTAATGACGCCATGTCATGTCGTCGTGAAAAACCGTTGTACCAGAAGTAGGTATATTATTGTATTTCGAATGTATTTGTTAAAATTTTTATGCTTCAGCGTACGACAAAAAGACATGCCGTGCGTTTTATTAGTTATTATTATTGTTAATTAATGCTTTATTTACGAAATGCAAGATTCTTCGAAATTAATTATCGATCTTACGTTGAACTCGTTGAAATAATATATTAGTCACGGTGATGTTTGATAATACGAAATCATAATACCCGGTAACTATAAACACGAGTAGCTCATTTATCTGGGCTGTAACTAAGACATTCGTCGGAATTTAGAGTTCAGTTAATTTTCGTTAGTAGAAAATGAATAAAATTAATTAGCACACTAGCAATTACAAACAATAACTGTATTACATTTAACGCCTCTAATGTTTTACATCGACTCTGCAAGATTTACGTATTTGAAAATGATCCGTCACAGTGTTGTACTATAAGAACCAGCATGCAAATGTGTAGTTTGTGCCTTTATTACCAGGATTAAACAAAAATGTACGAGTATATTATAGGTACATAATAACGTAAACTCTACCTCTCGCTAACCTAACGGTTTCAACGTTTTTAATGTTTGACACAAACTTGGTCTGGTCAGACCACTGTAATTTGGTATCATAATTAATGTAATTGTAATTTGAAAAATGAATAATTATTTGATAAAATATAATTAAATATAAATTAATATGAATCGTACATTTTATTGTATTCATATTTTATGTTATTTATTTAAATAAAATACAGATTAATAAATCGAATACAAACCTGATATAATTTATTGATTTTAAATCACATGTTAGATTTTTCATGTGACTGAAAACATCGTTTTCCGGTAGTTTTTAAAATTTATTTTCACAAATTATAATTTTTTCTGTTGCTAGTGGTATAAAATGGTATATTCATTTCAGATGTTCTTATAAATAAATAAAGTGATAAATTATAATTTTTAGCATATATATATTTTTTGAATGTAAGTATTCCATAACTGAATGTTGATCACGTAGTTATCTTATTATATTATATATACGTTTAAGTTTAGACAGATAAAGGGTGGAGTTGATAAAATGTTCAAAGATAAAATACTTTTGAACTACTGCACCACCACTCCTGTCCTAAACTTTAAACGCCTGTTAGATAGCCACGTGGTCATTATCATGATACATGAGAATTTTAAGAAAAATATAGGTATTTTTAATTTAAGCATGATGATATTTATAAAAATCAAATGTATTTTATATCATTTTAATAAAAAAAAACCCGATAAGTATGAAAAAATGACAAATGAGAAAAATATTATGTACTGAAATTGCGAACATAGGAAATTATTGTGATAACATTTTGTTCGCGAAACTTAAACCTATTATATAATTTTTATATTTATAAATTATATAATTTATGTCCATTAATATGAAATGTTGTTTAGTACGATTGTCTTAAAAATTGCGGTTAGGTATACCTACTGGAAGAACGAACAATTTTTTTTTCAAATTAAATGTCTAACCTATGTACTGTAGTTTTTCTTTGCAGTTGTTTGTGTTATTATATTCGGTGTTGAATCATCTATATAGTTATTCAAAGACGCTTAACGCAGCAGTGGCACTTAAAACGAAATTAATATAGATCCGAAGTACCTGTACAACGTGATTACGAAACAAATAGTCACACCACGCAATGTTCATCCGCTGGTGTATAAAAAACATATTATAAGCCTCCAAATGTACAATTGAAAAGCTAAAAAAAAACCTCAAAGCAAACACGAAACTTAAGTGTGTAATGTGTACCTTTTATAATCCCCTCGGAGATAACAGAAATCGTCGCCAAGTCATTGCGCATATTACGATGATATACTTGTTCTAGTTCGGGCGTAATATTAATGTATTTTGTACTATTTAATTTTCTCGCCGAGAAATCGGTTTCGATTGAACAAAACGCGCGACAACCACTATACAATATACCTCCGTCCGACGCGCACCGCATAAACAAGCTCGTCGTGACGTCTTGCAGTAAAGTTCTGGTTACGGTGGTAAATCGTTACTTGTAACGCGGTAGATAACTGCACACTCGAGTCTTGTGGTAGAACTCTTCGCCCGGCGATTTGGGTGTATATGATTTTGTTGTTGTTGTTGTTGTTGTTTCCCGGACGTTCCGCTCGATAATGACGCACCGAACGACCATGTCGTCGAAACGCTACTGTCGGGCACGATAGCGCCCAGGTAAATTATTTATTCTTTTCGTGTCGTTGTAGTCTTTATCACGCGAACCGGGATATCTCTGACAGGAAAGTTGGGGTAAGATTAGACAACGGCTATTCCGAATATATTGTTGTGTATATAATATTATTATGTTATCGAACAAACGGGCGACAAAGATATCGGGGCACCCGTTTTATCTCATCGGGTTTCGAGATAAAAAGATGCACTCGACGCGGCGGCACACATTCAAAATACCAGTCTCACGCTAGTCGTTCGGCCTGGTAGTGTCCCTAAACCCGATATGTAGTCCGATAGTCCGTTTGCGTTCGTTTGTACCGAGTGTGTGCGTACCGTATGTTTGTGTCTGCGTGTGTGTTTGTGTGTGTGTGTGTGTGTGTGTGTGTGTGTGTGTGTGTGTGTATGTGTGTGCCGAGTGTCATGTGTATGTGTGCGCGCTCGCATAACGTGTAGTAATATTCGTCGTTTGTGTAGAGAATATAAATATTATATTTTTATAAATAATAACATAATATTATGTGCGCACGTTTTTGTTGTCAATGACGTAAAAAATATCGTGTTTGATCGGTCTGGCCGTCCGGACGCCGTGGTCGACGTCGGCTTCACTCTCACTTCTTTCGAGTTTGACCCACAGACGCGATAATGACCGTTGTTTGTTCCTCTCTAACGTCCTGGGCACAATGTCGTACGACGTCAAAAGTGATACACATATACATATATATTATATATATTATATGCATTATATATTATAATTTATATTCATAATAAATAATAATATACGCATCACGGGTATATAATAACATGTATTGAAATTTGATAAATTAATGTCAAAGGGCATGGAGGGCGACGGGACTTCCAGAGGGGTGATAAGACCCGCCCCAGCTCATATCAGGACCATTACGACGTCGGGTCATATAACCACCGTACCTAACATCGAAGGACAGACCAGGAACGAGAGCAATGCGGCAGACACCATGTCGCAGTTGAAAGTGCAACAACAGAGAGACTTTGGAAATGACGGGTAAGTGCAGTGGCGGTACGATACGTGATTGTCTAATAGTATTATCATATAACGTGTATATCATAGTAATTATTATGGAATTCCGTCGTTTAACTGTTGTTAAGTTGATTTTTTTATAACGCAGCAATATTGCCTACATATTATATTATGCGATACATATATAGTATATACACTATATTATGTATATGCTGTATGTAGGCAATTGGTATGCCGATTGCGTATAATATACATATTTATATTGCTTTTATTTTGTTTCTCCGGCCATTAGGTTATCTAGAAACTGTACGCCTGATAATACGGAATGCGTACCGACGGAGGTGCTTATGGACGGGTTCAACGAAAACGGCACGTCCGCTGCCCACACTCCCGAAGAGGCTGCGTCGCCGGACGAATACCAAAAAGACCTTAGTCCACCCGCTGAAGCTATCCGACTCCGGAGGAACGTAGACGGTACCGAAGTAAATCTGCAAATACCGATGGAAAAGTTGGCCTCGTTCCACGGGTACGTGGCCGCCGCCGAATTTCCCAACCATAATCAAAGATATCAACGAATTAGATATTTGGAGTACCGAGGACAGTCACCTGAGGATGGCGGTGGTGGTGGTGGAGGTGGTTTTGAACAACCCCTGATCAAGTACGAACATCATCAGCAACAGCAGCAGCAGAGTAAAATGGATCCAAATTCCAGTTACGTGACTTTGGAATCGGTTACGGACGTCTATCAACAGCAGCAACAGCAACAACAACAACAACAACAGCAACAGCAGCAGCAGCAACAACAACAGCAGCAACAACAACAACAACAGCAGCAGCAACAGCAACAGCAGAATTACCAGCAACAAAACTCATACCAGACGTACCAAACATATGAAACCGAACAACCAGTGACTGACATTTTCAGCATATATGATAAGGAGAGTCACGGCGGTGGTGGAGATTACGGTGTAAAAGCCGGTCACCAAAAGGGCGGTTACGTTCAACAGACTCTGTTGCAGCAACAACAGCAACAGCAACCTGAGTATCAAGACGATGTTAACGGTGGCGGTGGTGGCGGTGGAGGTGGTGGTGAAGGACAACCGGACTTCTGGGGACCCCATGAGCAACAAGTAGCTGATTTCACGACGGCGGCAAACGAGACTCTTGCAGCGGCCAATGCGCTGCAAATTCAAGAAGTCGGACTAGGACCGCCGGACGGAAGCATCCAAGTGACTCAGCAGTATGCCATTTTCCAGACCGGTAATCCCGGACCGTCGTGGATCGACGAACACTACGATCAGAGTACGTATACATAGGTGGTGGTTTACCCTGAAGTGCTGATTTCGATATTGTATTTTTAAGACAGTTAACGATCAATCGGTCGGCATATACAACGTTCTTTGTGCCGTAATCACATCGGGCGAAGGGGCGGCCTAACGCCCCGTCAAATGGGTATTTTATACATTTATACACTTGAATTCAAAGTTTACTTTATACGACTAAGTATAGTATACTGATTTGAGACAATTATATATAATAATTAATCACTCTTTTTCTCTGGGGCTCCTAATAAGTGCCATATAGATATAGTTGTGACACTATAAAGTGAAACACGCTTTGACGATTATTGTTTGTTGGTTTTTGCAGACGGCATTCTGAACGTGGACATGAAGGAATGCGTGAATTGCGCGGCCAACGTGACGCCCCTGTGGCGGAGGGATGGCACGGGCCACCATCTGTGCAACGCGTGCGGCTTGTACAACAGGATCAACGGAGTGAATCGGCCGCCGGTCAGGTCTGCGCAGAAGAAAACCACCCAGGTACGATACGACACGACAAACCGATTATGACTACACGTATATGGTATTAATGTATTATTATTATGCCGGTATATTATATTATGTAATATCATGTTTAATTTACATAAATGTAACCGGTGGGCTATACAATAATTGAATAATATACTATAGTATATTGCGTACCATTAGTTGATTAATAGCCGGGTCATCGGGTCATGTATACCGTTACGATTGAACGATTTTGGATTAGGACCACAGAAAATAAACGTACCACCCAAAAAGAGGCTATTAGATAAAAGACTCATCGAGTTTAAGAGTCAAATTTTTAATTTATTATTTTAATTGCATAGTTTATCCATGGGTATAAGACGTGTATAAGTTATACAGTATAACGATCTCATTGGAACCTTACACTGATACTTAATTAATGTTTATGTAGTTCTAAGAATTAGAAATTCGTCTAAAACCAATAGGCATAAAAAGTACAGGCACATCGAATGTCTGCAGGATTTTCTATACCTACATAAATCAGAAGCATATATGTATATATTATAGAAACCATACAAATCATATAGTTAACACTTTTCCGCCTTACACTAATACGAATAGTCGTTTTTTAATAATAATAGTACCTACGAAGGTACTAGGTATAATAAATAGTGATATTTGTATCTTAAATAAGCATAATCCGTGAGTACATTAGTGTAGTAACTCGAAAATTGAAGATTTTGGGTTTCACGTCATGTTTTATTATGGAAAAAATGGCATTATTTATAATACATTAATACTCTAGTGTATAATGTCGTACTGTAAAAATTGAATGCTTTAAACTGTTACATTAATATAGGGTAATATTATATTAAGATATTAAAAACTCGATTTTATCAAAGTCTTCAATATTTTAGTTACTACACTAATGTAAGTACTAAGTACTCTCAGTGCGAAATATCGTCGACTATTTGGAGAAAATGATCATTTGTTAGTTGGTTTTTCTTCACCAATTGGGTGATTAAACTAATTACATATATTATAGTAGTTTGGCACTGTAAATGAAAGCAAACAATACACTTATATAAATACGTTTATCGAAATGTCAAATCGTCCGATAACATATATTTCGATACCATATCATCTTAACGGTATTGACCGATTGAACCTCCACGAGCACGTATTATCATCTATTCATAATCATCGCAGTATACTCCATATTATTATTGTACATGGACCAATGTCGGGGAAAACGTCGGCAACAATAACGACCGCTTAACAATGAGTAATAAACCAACAACGAAGATTTACATGCTATTATAATACAAACAGCATAATACCCTTCAAAAAATGTTCCCGTTCACGACCGTGTGCATCACTACAAGCCGACTGCCGCGGCCTGCGGATGATCAGAAATCGGCCATAATCATAATAATATTATGTGCTCACTATATCGATAATAATGTGTATATGTCATCCGAGTATATATAATATATAATAAAATATCATAAATATTTAATTCATAAAATGACACTACAATAACAACAACAACAATAATAATAATAATAATAATAATGCTATAATGTTGTGGTCACTGTGTCTTCTATAATAATGATCTCATGATTTGTTTGACGCGTTCCAGCAAACGGGGAACAAACGTTCCGGAGTGGCCTGTGCTAACTGTTCGACAAATACGACGACTCTGTGGAGACGAAACAACAACGGAGAACCAGTGTGTAACGCTTGTGGTCTCTATTTCAAATTGCACAACGTAAGCTATTGTTCATAAACGATCGTACAATATGTTTATATTATACATATATATATATTTATATAATATCATTATTCTTTATTATTATACAACGTTG